CTTTTACTTGATTTTTGCTTAAAATTGCAACTATTCCGGTAATAAGATATATAATAAGATCAAAAGTGACATTTTTAAAATCGTCATAAAACTTACTACCTTAAATAATTGATATTTAATATTCTTTGGTTGAAATAATATGTATAACCCAATCAGGGGCGCATTAAGGGGGGGGCAAAAGGGGCATTTGCCCCGGGCGGAAGTTTTTTGGGGGCGGTACATTTTTGTAATTTTTTTTTTTTTTGTATCTCAGAGTCAAAAAGAAAACATACAAATTGTATGACATAATGGAAAACTCGGGTTTAAGAAACAACTAATAATAATTAGAACTATCATACTAATGTACTATTAAACGTTATAAATTATGTATATAAAATTATGTCATAGTATGAGATGGGCATTTATATGCAAGCTTCAAACTAGCTCCCTCAGTTTATTTCAGTATTTCACCAATCATTTATAAACTATCGTGGTTTATTGGTTCGGAATTTTTCTTTTCATTACAAATATTGACAACTGTTTACGAATTCACGAATTCATTTTTTTTTTGTCCGTCATCATCTTTTAGGGCATTAAAAGTACTTGGATTTTCTTCAACAGTATCTTTTCTGATAGGAAAGTGAATCTAGTTGGTACTTTGGGGGGGTCAAATTGTTATAAGCATTTAAATTCCAAATATTGACAAAATACGTGAAAATGACGAAAATTTGCAAATTATTTCGAGTTAGAAATTCATAAAAAATTTTCTTTTTAAATCTAAGATATGAAAATGTAATGCGAGATTCCTCATAAGTTTGTCTACCTTTATCAAAAAAAAAAAAATGTCTACAAGAATCTCAAATTAAATTTTTATGAACGTTTGAAATTCATATTTTTACAACATTTGATATTCACTCGATTTCTCGTGTAACGATTTTCTAATTTTGTTGTAATTAAAAAACGAATGACTGTAGATACTTGAAAATTTTACTAAATTTTTATATTAGCATTTCCTATACACCATATAGTTTTGAAAATATTTTGATTCTTTTTGAGCTATTTACGGACATTTTCAGTTTTCAATATTTTAATTTTTTTTTCTATTCATATCAATAAAATTTTATTTGTATGGTAAAAAAGCTTGAAAATTTAATGCAAACCTCCTGATATATTGTTACAATAACACTTGAAAAATATTAAAAATACATAGGCACAATTTTTTTTAATAATTATTTAAAATTCAAATTTTGACAAAATTTATCACATTTAAAATTTAATAATAATTTTATAGTTAAAAATGTATAAAATGTTCAACTTTTATAGCTAATGATTGAAAATATAAACAAGATTCTACGTAAATAGGTTATATATAAATTGCTTTATTCACCTTAGTATCATCAAATATACTTAGTAAAATCATAGGCTGACTAACCGTCTTCGCTCAGAATCGTTTTTCTTATACAATGATGTTAGTATATCATTGAATTCAAATTTAATACCATCGATTATACAGGGACCCACTTGTACCCTACTGTACAGCAGAGCACCTTTTTTTGTTTATCAAACTTAAATAACTTTTATTTTGGTTTTGATATCGGAAATATAAAAACAAAGTTACTGAGTAAATTTTCTCATTTTTATAGTGTGAACATTTAGTTTCTTAGCTTAGAGTAGAGCCTGAATGTTTTTTATACCCGTGCAAAACAGTTTTGCCTATGTTGTACCTACGTCTGTAATACGGAGACAACACATGTGGGTGTACCTAGCGTACCTAGCGTCTTCTTTACAATCATACAGACTATTTGATACATTGCACTTTAGAAATTATTGTATACACTATACAAATTAAATCTAATGCAATGCAGAAATATTATGATTAGGAGGTGTGAACCATAAATTATCCCAGCACCCCCTGAATTCACACCCAATGTGCGCCTATGGCTGTCAATAGAAAATGAGACGATTAGAAGTATTGATTGGTCAAGTATTATAAAAGAGTTTGTGAACAAAAAAATAAGAAAATATTTTAATTAGTATTGTTCCGTATTTGTCATTTAAATAGTTTTATAATATGTAATAATATTTTATTGTTAATAAAGAATAAAGATATATTTATTATTATAAGTCAATGCTTAATACATAGGTACTCCATAAATAACTTAAAATATAGGAGTTGCTTACTAGGAGGTATTTATTAGTTAATGAAATATAAACATTTTACATAATAAATATTCCAATTACCAGTACTATTTTAAAAGAAAGGATTATTATTCCAAGTTCCAAATAGATATTTAGTAATTAATTTAATAAGATATCTATGTAGGTATAATAACTGTATGAAATGTAAGGTACTAACTTAATTTTTCGAGCGCAGCGAGGAAATTTTTTTTAAGTTTTTTATACTTTCATTAATATTCATAAAATACACCAGGGGCGCAAAATAATTTTGCCCCCCATATGTGAACCCTTAATGCGCCCCTGAACCCAATGTTTAGTAATTTTCGTAAAAAATTACAAAACTACTAAACTTCAAATTCCCGGGGGTGTGTTTTAAAATTGAACTATTAATTAAAAATTTTGAAGTTAATTTAGAATACGGCATTTACAAAAAAAAAGGTAGGTGCCACAAAAAAAATTTAATATTTATTTTTAAGGGCCGCCCTAATGGGGCCAGTAAGCATATCAAAAATTGTATCTTAGTCTATACTTTAATATGGATTTTAATTTAAACTTGTATAGTTGTATACTTAATTCCTGATTTTATATATTTTTTTATTGTGGCTGCCCCAAGTTACCTTTGAAAGAGCGTTTCTTGGGGCAGTTTTTTAATTTTGCTGATAAACTCATTTTGAGCCTATTGTGTCTATCTTGGGGCAAAAAACATGAAAAAATATGTTTCCTTACAATATTTAACACAGGAATGTGTCATTAAAATTGTATACAACTTATTAATATGAATTAGGTAAATACTAAATAGCTGATAAATAGATACAACTGAAAATGCGATTTTCTAAGTTGTAATTTTGAATATTCAACTTAATATAAGTAATTTAGGTAATATAATGTCAAATAAAAAAATTACACAATGTACATCTACTACCCTACGATAAGAAACATAATTACCTATATTGAATAAAAAAACTGATGAATTAAAAAGATGGTGTCCCAAGTTACGATTGAAACAAAAAAACATCGATAACATTAAAAATATTTGACATACGATTATTATGATTTTTTTTTTCATTTCTATTAAAGATATAAAGAATAAATATATTTCTTAACAATATTTACCTCAAGTCAATAATTATTACATGAGTAAATCGTGGTTGATTTTATGCTGTTGAAACTGTTAGTAAAGATCTACTTTTTAAATAAGAATATATCGTTAAGATCCCTTAAACTTACAACGACTTTGATGTGTTCTTGAAAATATTGTGTTGATTAATTATCCGATTCAAAAATTATCTTATAGTGAAAACAAACGAGGTAATAACGGGAATATCTAAGCCAAAATGATATTTGTGCCCCAGTAAGCCACTTCTACGGTATATAAATCAAAATTTAAAAAAAGCGGGTAAGTGGATGTCGCTCTGCTGTACAGTAGGTTACAAGTGGGTCATTGTATAATGGAATTGTATTAAACTTGCATAATCCAAAATCCATTTCCTACCTAACCTAGAAAATATATTGAGGAATTAAAATATGTTTTCAAAATTGAAATAAGGCTTTTGGTACTGGGTGAATTTTTCTTCGACCTTTTGGGAGATTAGTGGCACATGGGAGTTGAAATTTTTTGATAGCTAAATATAGTGTCGTGGCCTGCGAGTACCTATGTATACGTTACTGATTTCTTAGAATCTTAGCCGTCGTAGTATAATATCTATTAATTATTTAAATTTATGTTTCGGGGAACACACTGCAATCACACAGCACCAACGATGGATATAGAATATTTTCTAAATCCAACCCCTTCAAAATGTTAACCTGGCTACCTCACTGGTGTTCGGAATTCTACCCAAGGGCCAAGACTGCATAACTTACCTGAAAAATGACGTAGTCCTTATTATAAAATAAAATAATATATATATGTCGGTTATTCTTATTAAATAAAAATTTGATAATCTTCCGAACATGATGAAGGATGGACAATTTAATATATTATTTAATTTTAATATGTCATAAATTTTACCATAGAAACAATTTTACAGGAACGTCAGGAATATGTGAATGGCCGTGGCGTTTGCTTCGCCATCATACTGGAGCATCATATTATTAAAAAAAAAATCAAGTAATTTTTTGATTATATAGATTAGATTTCTTCGAGACATTATAGCGCACATTTTCAATTTTGGTGGCCATATTTATTTTTAATTTAAATATGTTATTTTACAGGAACGTCATTTTTAAAGTTTGTTCTATGCAGCTATTACGGTTGTAACCAATCAACCGTAACCCGAATACCGTGCCACATGTCAGATTGATAATTTAAATTGTGATAACAAGAAAAGTATGAATTTTTTAGACAAAATGTTAACAAATCATAGGTAGGTTTGCGGTACGTTTGTCCGCTACTGGGCTTGGTCCGTGACGTCATACTAGTCTCGTCATTACTCGTTTGAGTCCGTATCACTGAAGATGTTATCGTTTATCTCGCATCGTGTCGAATCACCAGACAACATTATGGGTCGAATACACGTCGAGTAATTGTTTTTTATTCCATGATTTGCAGTTTTTTAGCGACCTAACGGAATCAGTTTACCCAAATATTCGTACCACGGGGCATAATGATAGATGATTGACCATCGAGAATTGTTGTAGTGTGTACACATTTTTTTTCTAAGTTCGTAAAGTAAATTGCAATTTGTAAAGGTTTTTCAATTAACAACTGTACTGTCGATTGACTATACATTTACAAAGTACGCACATATACTTGGCTCGACCTGCCGAAAAAAATATTATTATTTTTATTGCGTACCTAACATGTATATTTGTTATTTAGTTTGCGAAAATTCACTGCCAAAATGGTGCTGTTGGCTTCAGCCGTATGCACAAAAACGGGAAAAACCATCGTCTCTCGACAGTTTGTTGAAATGACCAAAGCGCGGATTGAAGGTCTACTGGCGGCGTTTCCTAAGCTGATGTCGACAGAAAAACGTCACATACAACATACATTTGTTGAGACAGATTCTGTACGATATGTATACCAACCATTGGAAAAACTCTACATGTTACTGATCACTACAAAGACCAGTAACATATTAGAAGATTTGGAAACATTAAGATTGTTTTCAAAAGTAGTTCTGGACTGTTGCAAGTGAGTACCTACCTTATCTTAATCAGTAAATTGATTTAAGATTTTTTTTTAACTTTTACTAACAATTATATGAATGATTTTTGTCCTAGGTTAGTCGATGAGAGTGAAGTATCAAAAAAATCTTTTGATTTAATATTTGCTTTTGATGAAATTGTAGCCCTTGGATATAGGGAGAGTGTTAATTTAGCTCAAGTAAGAACATTTGTTGAAATGGATTCTCATGAAGAAAAAATGTATCAAGCGGTACGCCAATCACAAGAGCGTGATGCTAAGGTTAAAATGCGTGAGAAAGCAAAAGAATTACAACGACAAAGAATTGATGCTGTCAAAAAGGGTGTTCGTATGACAGCACCATCAAGCTCTTACATGTCAATGACACCAGTCGCAGATTCAATTTACGAAATAAAAGTATCCAAGCCAGAAACACCGAAATACACATCAACCAATAAAGCTTTAAAATTAGGAGCAAAATCTAAAGATGTTGATTTGTTTGTTGATCAATTGAAATCTGAAGGTGAAAAAGTTGTTAGTAATAACAAGACATCAACTATTACATCAACTTCTTCAACCGTTCAAAAAGACATTCATATTAAAAAGGAAGAACGTTTAATTGCCATTGTTGGTCGCGATGGAGGCGTTCGCAATTTTGAATTACATGGGTTGATTTCATTAAGGATTTCAAATGAAATTTATCAAAAAATTGTTTTACAGTTCAATTTTGAATCTGGAAACATTCCATTGCAGACACATCCTAATATTGATAAGGAACTTTTCAAGACTAATCGATTAATAGGTTTGAAAAATTCAACAAAACCATTTCCATTGGATTCTGAAGTAGGGCTATTAAAATGGACTCTTCAGTCACAAGAAGAATCAGCTATACCGCTTTCAATTAATTGCTGGCCTAGTGAAAATGGTTATGGTGGCTGTGATGTAAATATTGAATATAACTTGGAACATGCTGACCTCGAGCTGAATAATGTTACAGTCACAGTACCGTTGCCATTTGGTAATGCTCCAGTTATTCAAGAGTGCAGTGGAGTTTATAGTTATGAACCTAAAAAGAACGTTTTAATTTGGTCAGTGGCTGTAGTGGATTCGTCTAACCCTACAGGATCTATTGAATTTGAAGCACCCAAATCGATTGCCTCTGATTTCTTCCCAATTAAAGTAGATTTTATTTCAAAATCATCTTACAATAAAATTAAGCCAATGGAAATTAGACTTGTTGATGATAGCACACCTGTAAAATTTACATCTGAGACATCTTTATACACAGGAAATTACGAAATAGTTTGAACATTATGAATTTATTTTTTTTTTGAACACTTATTAGTTTTTTTTATTATTATTAAAAATTCTTATATAATATATTATACATAAACATTATAACATTATGCTGTTTAAATATACATTTTTTTCTTTATTATTCATTAGAATTATTTTGAGTTGTAGACAGCAGTAATTCTTGAACTTCTTTTAAATAAGAAATCTGTGATCGAACAGTGCTTAAATACTGAGGATATGTGAGCGAACTTAACTCCTGAGCTGGTAATGGTTCTGTTCTTGTAGGGTACACCATTAGTGGTATATAGCGTTGACTGCTTACACCTAAACATTAAAATATATAAATTGCAATATTATTTAAAGGTATCATAACTGCATTAGTAACTATACTTTCATATAAATAAATACATTTTTAAAGTAAGCTGATAAATATTACATAACTTATGTATTATAGATATAAACTAATAAATTATATTACTTTTATTATTAATTGATATTAGTCAAATAGGGGAGAGGAAATGTGGCGTGAACTTCACACTCAATATTGTAATTAACATAATTATTGATATAAAACATTTTTGTAAAATAATTTTAACAATTATTGTTATTAATTTATCAATTATTTATTTTATACTATAAAATAAATAATAAAATATATATATATATACACACGTATTGCTTTTAATGTTTTTTTTTTTTTTTATTAAAAATAAAACCATAAAATAGAAAATATTCGTTTATTGTCAAAATGGTAGAGTAGAGAAAATATCAATTGTATGGGTAATTTAAGCTCCATAAAAAAAATGCTGTTTTTAGGTAAAGTAATTAGTAATGAATGAATGAAAATACTTTTTTGTTCTAACCTTTAGGACCAGTTTGTAAAGATTTAAAAATAATTTGAGAGAAAATAGCTCAGAAAATAGTTATTTTGAAATATGTATTATTAACAAAGTATACTATAGATACTTTAATAATACTAGATAGTAAATACATTGATACATTTTTGATAGAATATTCCATATTTTGTATTGTTATTTATACAATTAGGTCATAATCATTTCTTTAAAACTTTAAAATGGTTTAAAGACCCCCGGAAATAAACGAGTTATTTTTAAAATAAATAAGGAAATACAATATTTCCTTGTTGGAACTACATTTAGTGTACCTTAATTGGTAAAATATACAAACAAAGACAGATAGGTAATTCACATGAAATCAAATTGTCATTGATTTAGTACCGTAGTACTATAAGAATAGTGTATTAATATAAGCAATGATTTATAAATTAATATTCTATAAATAAAGTTTATTACTATATAATATAATTCAGTTACTAATATTAATAATAATATTTATTATAAAATATTTTCCGTTGTATATACAGAGTATAAAATATATGTAAAATTAATATACAATTTTTTTAACTCTTTTTGAGTATATTTTTAATTATCATAATTTTATTGACTGTAGTTTCTACTGTTGGGGTGGATAATTCAATAATTGTAAGATAATTATTTAATTATTTTAATTGTAATATTTAAAAAAATAATATTAATTACATACATAGATAGAAAAAAAAGTATGTCGCTGCGCGCGGGTCGACAATATCGATACCGATACATATTCGGCTAGTCGTATTTTTGGAGCGGCGATACGGGAAAGGTTATTTAAGTCAACATTACATTACATTACATTAAATTAGAGGCAATTCATTAATAAATTGAAAATTAAAAACATAATAGATAAAATAATTGCAAAATTATAATAAAATCAATTGATTAAAAATTTAAAAATTAAAAAATTAAAAATTAAAAATTAAAAAATTTTAAATTAAAAATTTTCAAGTTTCTGATTTTTTCATTTGTATTTACCTAACTACCTATCTGTATGCCAAATTTGAACTTTCTAGGTCATCTGGAACTGGGTTAGAATTTTGATCTATAGGTAAGTCAGTGATAAAAATGACGATTTTCGGACGTTAATATCTAAATAACGGTTTGAAGTGTGTTTATGAAATTTAGAGCACATATGTATCTCGTTAGTCTCAATTAAGTGCATATAAATGAAGTTTATTATTTGAGTCGGTAGAAATAACTTGATGGTTTGACTAAAACATGTTTACCTTCATTTCATAAGTAATATATAAAACTCTTAAAACCAATTTGAAAGATATTTTTAATTTTTGGATAATTGTTATATTATGTGGTTGAATGTATGATAAAGTTTGTGAGAGAGCTTTAAAATGTTAGTTATTAAATATATTCTATTTTCAGAAAATGTATATGATTGTAACTAAATATTAGAGGCAGAGAAAATCTTAGAAAGGTAACACATTTACTAAAAATTAATAATTGTTATACTATAAATTATTTTCACAAGTCAATAGATACCTAGTTAGAGTATTTTCTTTATTTGTTAATAATTATGCAAATTATATTATGACCTACCTAGGTATTATTAATAAGTTAGGTACCTAAAATAAACATTTTAATCTAGGAAGTTTTTCTTAAATCTTTGGGTAAATATAACTTATTCTCTGATAATTTGGAGTTTAACTAAAACAATTTAACAATATACCTTGTTGTTGACACTCGATGGCTGTCTTCAGGTTGTACTCGATTTGATCACAAATCGAAAAAAATTCTTCAATGGTTTTCTCAAATCGGGGACCGGGTATTTCTACAGTTTTTAATAATCCTGTGTCAATATAATGATTTTGTTGTAGAGTATATGAAGCTGCACGGAGTACACAACTTAATGATTCTTTGAGTTGAATCACTTGAGTTTTCACTTTAGATATATTGTCCAATTTTTCTTGTTGCTGTTGCTGTTGTTGTTGCTGTTGCTGTTGCTGTTGTTGCTGTTGTTGTTGTTGTTGCTGCTGCTGTTGCTGTTGTACTTGTTGCATGGCTTGAGGAACTTGAGGCGAATTTGATGGAAATACAGGCATAGACATTGTTCTACTATTGAAATTAATTTCAGTATTCGGTAAATATGTTTTAAGTTTATCAAAATAATAATAATTTCAGATTTAGAGTTTACTAATCAGTAAACTCTTACTACAAGTCTAAAAACAGTAGATCAGAATAATATAAAAGTTTTTAAAATGGAAAAGCCGGTTACTAATAAAATATAATTAGCTGGAATTTGTATAATATTTTGAACATTGAACGATTGATAATTCAGAAAATTCAATATTATTCACTTGGCGTTATCTCATATAACCGAGATCTCGGTTCGACAACAACTTACTACAACAACAACAACAACTGTTACCGTCTTTGCTTACAATGATAATAACAATAATAATGATAATAATAAATAATAATATGTACGATGATAGAATTGAAAAGTTGTACGTGTCACACTGATGTGATTAGGTTGGCGACATTGGAAAAGTCTAGATGATAGCGCGCACATCAAAATATTTTTCCGCAGCAGGCTCCGACGCTCTGAGCCGCGGGCAGTCGCTTGTATTATTGTCGGTACTCGGTGCTCGCCAGTCGCCAGTCACTACTATGCGTCGAGGCTTGTGTGTGTCTCTCGTTCTCTCTTTCACTTTCTTATCAGTACTGCAGCGCACTGATTGTTCGACATCATTATATTATATATAAATATTTCGTTTTATTAATATTCTAACGACCTGACCGTCGTTTATAAATAATTTGTCCGGAAGGATAGTTGTGGTACAATCATGACTGACGACTACGGAAGTATGGAGGACAATGCTGGTGATATGAATACCAAATTTGGGCTGCGATTGCGTGGGCGCAAAGGAGCTTTGAAAAAGAAGAACGTCTACAACGTCAAGGATCACAAATTTATACCGAGATTCTTTAAGCAACCGACTTTCTGTAGCCACTGCAAGGACTTCATATGGTAAATATAAAAAAATTAATAATATTTTTAATTTTATTTTATTTCTGTAATTTTTCTCGATTTCCCCATGCTTCACTGTCGCTTAGAAAAATAAATAAAAAGCATATATAAAATCTTTGAACATTGTGTAGAGCTAATTATATTGAAAGTCAAAAGTATGGTACTGTTATGTTACTTCGTCGTGGTAAGTAACAAAAATATCTTAGGCGTTTGTCTCGAATAATTTTTACGTAATTCGGGTTTCACATAGGTAATTGTCCGATTTTTGATATATATTATATTTTAATTATCAGATTTTAAGTTGACCAATAGAACTAAAAATTTGGGTATTCTGTTTTTTTTTAAAATTTAGTTCCATTATATTTTGTACTATATTGTATATACAAAAGTTTAAATGTTATTGTCATGTTAATTTAAGATGTGAAAACTATGTAGGTAGTTAAGTGTTATGCGATGTACAGCATTGTACATTGTACATACAATCTTAGCTATTATATATTTTGAGTCAAAATATTTATGTTATAGTGACTAACATTGTTTTAATACTTCAAGATTAGGTATTAAGTTTTTTTTTTATTTATGTGGGAATATGTCTAATGAATATAATTTTTTTTAACATATTAAATATTAGGTTTTTATTTATTATTTTGGTTTGTTATAATAATTATTTATGTAAAGCGGAAGAATATTTTTTACACGTTATCGCTTGTATTCTTTGGTATTAAAATACGTTCAAAGGCGAACGCGCGAAAAAAATTTAAATGGTATTTTTTTTGAAAAATTAAGAGGATCTCATTTTAAATTGGATTTTTATAGATCTCGAGGGAAGTTTGGAATACCTTTTACAATACTTATGAATTATACCCTTAGGGTAGATACTACGTTTAAGGTGGTGGGTAAGGCAAACCTACAAAACCCTGTGCTTTCACCCTTGCTATTATACTTTGTACTTATGGGAATCTGACCAGAGATTTGTTTAGACGAGTAAATTTTACTTTTGTATTTCGATTTGGGTCATATTTTTACGAATAAATTGAGTAAAAATATCTGTGTAACAGCATCTATATAGCACATATTAGATAGTCATGGTATATATGTATATAATATATGGTGTCTACAATTTTATAAACTCATAATTTGTCCTAATTACGATGTAATTCATACAGCAATAATAAAAATACCTCAAACTTCGATTAAAATATACTTTTTTTTTACTTGGTGAGCTTCTTTTCGTTATTTAAAAAAGTCATCAATTTTGGGTTGTATATTATATTAGGCGTATTTTGAACTTGTTTTTAACATATATTAAATCGTAAACTCCGAAGTTTTAATGAAAAATCTTCAATTTATTATAGTTTGGTTGGTAATATAATATATATTATTTTAAACCATTAAATGTACCTACCTATTTGAGTTTAAAATAAATAAAAGGATTTGTACGTACCAATTCTTAAGTTTGTGTTCGGTAAATTTGCTTTTGTTAATCATTCTTGAGTAGAGTATTTGATTTTTAGATTCTGAGCAGAGCGATGATGTATTGGTTTTACAATGATGTGTGTTTTTTAATATTTATTTTTTATTTTTGTGTTTGTGTACACGATAAGTAGTCGAAATAATGCTTCGATTTTCAACTTCAGTATCTTTTTCAATGGGATAGTGAATATTGCTGGTGCAATGGGTTGGTTAAAATTAAAAATTCTGAGTAATTTTCAAAAACACCGCGAAAAAAAAAGAAAAATTAAGTAAAAACGGGAATTTTTACGCAAAATCTATTTTGGTTTTTGGAACTTTAAAACATAAAGGACCGTGGAAACATGCAATTTTTACTGAATTTTTATATTATGTAAAATTATATAACATTTTGAAAATATTTTAATTTCTTTTGAACTGTTTATAAGGACATTTTCAGTTTCCAATTTTATTAGATTTTTTTTCTATGAATGTCAATAAAACTTTATTTGTTGCGTGAAAATTCTTGAAATTTTAATAAAAGGCTCCTAATATATTGTTACAATAGCATTTGAAAAATATTAAAGATCCTTATTCACAGTTTTTTTTTTATAAGTATTTAAAGTTCAAATCTTGACAAAATACCGAAAAATCACGAAAATTATCGAATTATTTTGAGTTGAGAATTCATAAAAATTTTTCTTTTTAAATCTAACATTTAAAAATGTAATACAAGATTCCTCATAAGTTTGTCTACCTTTATCAAAAAAAAAAAATTTCTACAAGCAAATCAAATTAAATTTTTATGAGCCTTTAAAGTTCATATTTATACAAAATTGCATAATCACTCGATCTCTCATGTATCGATTTTGTTATTTCGTTGTAATTCAAAAACAAATAACTGTAGATACACGAACATTTCACCGAATGTTTATATTCTCGTTTTCTATACACCATAAAACTTTGAAAATATTATCACTCTTTTCGAGTTGTTTACGGGCCATGTCAGTTTTAAATTTTTTTTGTTTTTTTCTTTAATTGTCAATATAATGTTATTTGTTGGGTAAAAATGCGTGAACATTTAATACAAGGCTCCTGAAATATTGCTTAAATTGCAGTTGAAAATTATTAAAAATACATATCCACATTTTTTTATAAGCATTTAAGGTTGGAATTTGACAAAAATTATCAAATTTAAAATTTAATATTTGTTTTGTTGTTAAAAATGTATAAAATGTTCAACTTTTATAGCTAAGGATTGCACATTTAAAACAAGGTTCCTCGTAAATAGGTTATATATAAATTACTTTATTCACAATAATATCATCAAATATACTTAGTTAGCTGGAGCGTGATTCATTTTCGGTCGAAAACATAGCTCACGACTTCGATCATTACACTCAATATAATGTTCTGTAATGTTCTGATATTAATTTTGAAAGCAGATTTGTATTTGCCACTTAATTATCTATGCTTTGAAAATTTTATAATATTGTATTATGTACGTAATAGGTAAAAATGTACAATATACCTAGTAAAAGTATTTTTTAATGTATTCTAATATTTTATTTAAATTTTTAAAAGATATACCTAAGTATAACATTTAAACATACGGAAATATATTTTAACATCGCAATCTGTGGAATCAAGTTATAAATAATATTAAATGTATCTGTGATTTGTTAGTGGACTATTTTCCGAAGTTTTTTTAAAATTTATATTGATTAATTGTTTATTAAACAATTTTCCATATATTTACAAATATGTTCGTATTATGTTCGAGTATTGTGTATTGTTATAGTTATTCTACTTAATAAGTATACAGTTATAATTTACAGTTAATAATAAATACAATCGTGAATCACTATTATTTGATAATTTGTAGATGTACACGTTGGTGGTGGCGTAGACTTTGGATTGGGTGGGTCAAAAATTATTTAATTGGTCATAAAGCTTGAAAATGTAATTTTAAGTTACTCATAAATGGTTCTTATAGTAATTTAAAATTATTTAATATATACACAGGTAGGCTCACCTTTTTTTTTATTAGCATTTGAACTTATAATGTTGACAATATTTGTCAAAATCACGATACTTAGTGCAAATTATTTTGAAAGTAATTAGTAAATAGTAAAAAAATTATAAAAAATGTAATTTCAATACCTAAGATTTGAAAATATACCTAGTACAACGAGAGAAAGCTAGAGAAAGATTCTCATAATTTGTTTTTACAGTTAAAAATTACCAAATACACATGGTACAATTATTTTTAAAGGCACTTGGAGTTGATATTTTGACAAAATTGTATATTTAAACAAAAAAGACGATATTTTCTTCTTATTGTTTCTTTCTTACTGTAGATATAGGTATTTGTTTCTGGAATTCAAAAAAAATTAATCTTAGAAACTTGAAGCTTTTCACTATAATGTATTATATTATTCTTTTATATGCACAATGAAAGTTTCAAAATATTGATACCAATTTCAAGCTATTTATACCAGTATACCATGAACCTATATATTTACGTTACCTATGCCGATATTGACTTTACTGATTGACACAAAGATTACTTTTAGTAGGTAGTATAAATATGTTTTAAAATATCCTCGAAATCCATTTTCGTATACAATAATTGATCATTGGGCTCAAATTGAATACATACATACACTGACCTACTCAATAACGAAGTACACTTGAAATCTATTATTAGTATCTAGAGTGAGTTTTCGGTTTTTTATAAAGAATTTTCCTAGACTAATGATTGAAGACGTATAGGAGCTTTTTCCGCAATATTTGTATAATTTCTGATATTTTTTAGTATATTTATTAAAGCCATTGAGCTTTTATCATTTATTGTTGATTGTAAAATTAAGAATTTAAGAATTTTTGCAAGAACTTTTAATTATTTTTAAATAATTTAAATATACTCAGACCATTAGTATTTGAGTTGTATTTTGTATTCTCATAAAAAAATGAATCATGTATTTATTTTTGTTTTATAAATTGTCGTTTTAACACAATTTTTATAATTTTTGGTTTCTAATATAATTTGAGCATATAGTTTTGGCTAAGAAGTACCGGTTAATATTTCAGCAGTATGACCTTGGATCGAAGAAGAGTTCTTGGGAGGTAAAGATGAGTACCGAAGTATACATTTTGGGAATTTTTTTAAACCTTTCGTTACTCGCCCACGTAAACAACTAATTTTTTTTAAACCTACCAATTTTTCCACACATTTGGATAGATTATTTTTTAAATCATCTTATGTGCAAAGAGTTTTTTCTTTATTATAAAATTGACCAACCTAGAGTAAGTTAAAATTTACGAATAATCCGTTTTTAATAATATTTTATCCATTTTAATTTTATAGTCGATGTATCTTCGATATTGTTAAATTACCTACTATTTATGCATCAAGAAGATGTAAACACTAATGTTTATTAAATAAACGTTTTAATTCTTATAAAGTTTTAACTTTTATTGCTTTATATTATTAAACAATGATTATGATTTGAGAGTACTCGCGAATTACAAAAACAAAGAAGTGTTCA